TTGCTAAATGCTGGAAAAATATACACAAGGTATTAATAACAAATTAAACATACCTACTATTTTACAAAATAAATGTAAAAGTGTGTAGTGGTGGTATATTTGTCAGTCGATAAAGCGGTTATCATTATTATTTACTATCGGTGAATTATTTACCTAAAGTAAATAGTGTTTGGTACGGTTATGATTTTTAAACGCTACTATAGCTATTGTCAAAGTTAATTGTCAATAAATAATAACAGAGAGCAGCCAAGTGTCACCTTAATATGTTAGCGTCTCCAAGATATTTAATTTATTTTTTACACTCCCTTTAATTTTAAAACTGTGTAGCTGGTTAATAACTCAATCGATTTACCTAGTTTTTACACCTAAAATTAAATTAAAAAAAAAATAAACACGATCATCAAAAAAAAATTGGGGGTTACCATTTAAAAATCTAAAGTTGATATGGTTTTAACGCATAAGATGGTGTTAAAATTTTGAAAAATACATTAAATTTGTCCCACCTAATAACTATAATAGTACAAAAAAAAAAAATTAAAAAAGTCTAATATCTTCTAAGATATTGAGTGGTCCATAGTTAACCAATCACCCGGTATACGGTGCGGCACTTCTATAAAAAAAAAAAAATGTTTAAGCATGTTAATAGAATATTATAAAAATGTTACATTACGTACACAGAACGAGTGTTTTTTTTTTTTAATTAAATAAATATAAACTATCAATTTTATAAGATTGGCCCAATTTTAAAACTTAAAAATTTCAACTAAAGACATTAACGTCTGCATACTGACAAAACGACTGTAAGTATAACTTATTTCGGTGTTTATGAAAACTGTCCAGAACAGCTTAAATCTCAAAATGCATGTGTAATATATAAATATTAGACAACATTTATACTTTACAGCACTTTATTGACCAATGAACAAATTAAAACGTTTATTAGAACAAGGGCCTAATTTAAATTACTGGTTTTTTTTTCAGGAATCTTTTAAAAAATTCCTAAGGCTAAATTAAATTTAAAATTCATATTTTTCAAATTAAATCAACCCATTAAATGGCAATAAAATAGGCAAAATGATTAAGTTTTCGATAAAAAAAAAATGTACATTTTTATAGACAGACGATGAACCCTAATCGTGTATCCACTTTAATACTAAAAATTAATTTTCAAACACATTATCGTCATTAGGTACAATGCTTTTATCGATATATTTGTATTTGTTTTCTGTTTACACTGGACATGCCTTATACTTACTCACTTACATGATATAACAGTTGATCCGAACACAAAATACATATTATCCTGTTGTTGACCTCCTAGTTTGGACACAATTCGCAAAATCTGCATGACGATTGCTATATTAATCTTCTTAAAAAAAAACGTTAATAAAATGTATGCGTTACCGTTTAAGTAAAAAAAAAACAATTATCAATTAAATCCAGTGGTATATTGAGTGACCCGTGATAAAAAAAAAACCACCCTGTATTATAGTGTACGCTCCTCATAATGGCGTTTATCGATCACAAGTTAGCATTACCGGCCGCAAGACAGCGCTCGACGCCTTCGTCTTCGCTTTCAATCTGTTCACGGTTCCTGTCAACCGAATAGAGCCGACCGACTCTTTGGGAACTGCTGCAAAGCTAATACAAAATAGGTATGTACCAATAATCTGTATCTCTGTGTGTATTCACCATTTTTTGCGCTCAAGAGGACGCCACACCGCCCATTTCTAAGGAGTAAAGTATAGGCAATTTTTCGAAAATCTTAATTTTTAGGTTAAACTGTGTTGTGTAATTATTAGTTCAATAACTAGGACTCTATTTTGGTAGTTAATTTATTTTTTGGACTATCGCAACATCCTTGAAAGCGATTTAAAAATTGTTTTTCATCTCAACTTGTTTAAGCAGACTGAAAATAACTCGCTTAATTTTGGATTTAGAGTAAAAGCACCCATTATATAATTAAAAGAGAACAATATTTCAAAGGGCAAGACGGTGCGTTTTTTTCATTATTCTAAGTAAAACGCTCAATACATAGTTTAGAAATAACGATTATTTTAACATTTTTAAATGACTGTAACTTTCCAAAAAATTAATTTTTTTTAAAAAACACCGTCTTGCCCTCCGGAATATTGTTTTCTTTTATTTTTATAATGGGTGCTTTTACTCTAAAACCAAAACTTAGCGAGTTATTTTCAGTCTGCTTAAACATGTTTTTACCACTGAAAATCACCGGTGCGACGCCCTCTTAAGAAGAGAAATTCATACATATGTGTTCCATCATCCGTATTTTTTCGATATACCAACGCTATATCATTTTTAAAAAAAGGCTTTTCTTAATAGTAATTAATTATTCACTAACCGGTTGAAATATTTAAAAAAGGACGACGATAGAACACAGACAAAGTTGTTGTCTATATTGTGTAAAAATTTGGTTTCTTAGTTTTTATTGTAGCCTTTGTAAAATTGATCCGCGCAAGGCGGGTTTTTTGTAGAAATTAACGGGTGTGTGGAGTTCTCTTATAAATGTATCACAATAAAAGCATTTCGGAAACCAAGTCGTGTAAGCCGCCATTAGTAAAGTAAAAACCCAGCAAAGCATGTTCAGTGCAGGCGCGAATTGTTGAAGGGAGGTATTAAACGCTTACAAAATGACTTCTAAATTAGCCGGAACATAGTGATACGGGTCTTAAAAATTATCACTAGAGCTGATAGCAACAAAAATCTCTAATGTGATTGTTATTACCATTTTTTGTTTTTTCCTAAAAAAAATTATTACATTTTTGTAATTATGTCGTCCTCCTGCAGGAATTCAAATATTGCCATTTGATACAATGCCTTTCAGTACAAATACCTAAATATTGTTTCTTTTTTAACCTCATCGTTGTATTATTATAGCACACTAATTAGCTTTTATGGCATTGTTTATTGAAAATTATAGCACTAGTGTTAAATATTATAGTTTTTAGAAAATAAATTCCCAGTTTTTGCAAAGTTATATTTTTGGCGAGAATACAAAATATATTTTCCTTTGAAAATATTCCCAAGGTAAATCAATATGGACTGTAATTGAAAGAACTCAGGCATTACGTACTCATTAAAATGTAAAAGTGGACTTTAAACCGAGTAGAATTTTTAAGTTTCAAATCTTATGGCATTCGGACGTTTATTATCAATTTACTAAAAAATGTAATCATCTAAATAAATAATGTACGATTCTGATATATTTTGATTTTTTTTGGATAAGTTTAGGCAACACAATTGAATAAAAATTTGGTTAATAGTAGATATTTGTATTTCGTCTCAAATCAATAATATTAATTCTTAAAAATTACGCGTGTTTGATGCATTGTACATTTTACATCAGTAATATTAATATTTTCTGTGTAAAATATAAAATATTGATCTTAAATTAATCTAATTTGTTTCATACGTGTTGCAGAATCCATTTTCCGTGTAAAGCAACCGATACCTGAAAAAATACAAACGCCATGAATTCCAATACTATTGAAACTAAAACCAAAACTTCGGAAAAACATATAGACAAAATACGTCGTCGGTTCGACTGCAATACATGTCAAAGGAGGTTTACAACCAAAGGTAATTTAATCCGGCATATTACGAAATCGCATTCCACCGGTACTCCCGTGGAGAAAAAAGCGCCTCAAAAAGATAAAGTCAGTCATCGAAACCCCAGAATCAAAGGGTATACTCGAAACGAAGATGGCTTTTATAATTGTGGCATTTGTTTAAAAAGTATTTCATTATTATCGAACATGAGAAGACATTGGCGCATTCATACGGACGAGAAGCCTTTTAAATGCCTAATATGCGATAAATCGTTTAATCAACAAAATAATCTCAAGACACATGCACGTATACACACCGGCGAGAACCACTATAAATGCGATGAGTGTGGAAAAACATTCAGTCAACGGTGTAACCTCGCGGCTCATAAAAGGCTACACGCCGGTGAAAAACTATTCGAATGCGACGTCTGTAACAAATGTTTAAACACACAATCTCACCTGAAAACTCACAAAAGGATACATACCGGCGAGAAACCATATAAATGCGATGTCTGTGAAAAAACATTCAGACTACCACTTGCCTTCAAACTTCATGAACGTATACACACCGGAGAGAAACCGTATAAATGCAATGTCTGCGAAAAAAACTTCAGTCAACAATCTCACCTTATAACCCATGAACGCATACATCATATTGGCAGGGCACGATATAACTGCTCCCTCTGTCGAAAATCGTATAGCCGCCAAGACACTCTCAATAGACATTATGCAAAAGCACACGACTAAAGCCTTGTGTACCTCTCGTGACCTTTTGGCAGTTTTTTAAGTAGTTTTAGTAACAATTTTTTTATTATTTTGTTTTTATTTTCATTTTTACCTACAGTGGTATTATGACGAAAACTACCGGATCCTCATTGTTGTACCTATTAATGTAGTTATACATTATAGTTTTAACGCTAAATTAAGATTTTACGAAAAATTAATTTTACTTTTGTCCTTAATAACAATGGTCAGGTATCGCTCTATTAATTTTGCCTTAAGACAACACATAAAAGTACATATTATGCGAATCAACTGTGGAACAATAACAGATACACTTGTGTGTAGTAATTGTATGTTTAAGCATTGTACGTATTAAGTCGTAAATTTAAATTTTAAAATAAATCGAATACAAAGTTAATATTTAACGTTTTTAATTGAATGAATATGCATTTATATTACCACGATACTATATGATATTTCCTATACAACTGTTCGACTTGTGAACGTGGTCTGACAGAATGGAATGCTTGTTTTTTTTAAATTTAACCAAAGGTTTTCCTCGATTAATATCAATTGATCTGGGCACTTTCTCTAAAAATATTTTCATTTTCTGTTTATACTGTACTGGTTTGGATTTACTATCCACCGATATTATCCTCCAAAAAAGCCACAAATAATATTGTTAAACAGATACATTTTCAGCTTTCCATATAGATCTCGTCAAGTTTCAAATAAAAATTATATATTTATTTATTATTTTGTCTAATAGTGTTATTCTAGAATTGATTCGTCTATCACAGATTAACACCAATTTGATTATTTTAAACTTACACTTGGCTTTATTTTATATTTTCCAAATAGACAATGAACAAAAACCAAAAGCATATTGCCTTTATCATCTTTTCAGTTCTAATAAACATGTAAACGTTTGATGAATCTTTTACCCTGACAACTAGATGGCGTGTTTTATTTGTGTAATATAATTTACAGTGAAGTTTTCCCAAAGTATTAACAAATAAAAATTAATTATCAACAACAAAATGTGTAAATAGTTTCAAGACTAAATTGAATTCACAAAAAGGTATGATTAAAAAAATAGTACTATAATTGAATACCATAGGATGTAAGAGTAATATCATTAAAAGTAAACAAATGAAACGTTCGGCCTAAGTACTTTCCTGTCACGTCAACCAATTGCCATTGATTTTTTTCTCCGTCATATCTTTCACAATAAAGTTTTCCTCCACTATTCACAAACACGAACAGGTCATTTTTCACGATAAAAACACCTGAAATTAAAAATAATTATGAGTAAAAAAAATGTATTATATTATACTTGATTAAATATATACAGACTTGAGCAATCTCCTTTACAATACGTGTTCATGTCAGGCATTTCATCCCATGTGAAATGTTGTAAATCGAATTTAGAAACTCGTCGAGGTGCACAAGAACCACCAATGAGATAAATGACGTTACCTATTCTTGACACACCCATGTCAAAATTACAAATCGGCATAGGATCGAGTTGTTTCCAGTGTTTCTTTTCAAAATTATAGTACTCTACAGTTGCAAGAGAAACCCGATTATTAAATCCACCAAACTACACAAAACAATTAAAATTTGATTAAAATATTTACAAACCATAATAGCATAATAGTTGAATTATTATTTTACAATTATTTTGTAATACAAATGAATAAAAAAAAATAGGCAGAAACTTGTTTAATAATTAGACATGGTTTATTATGGTTGAATTGCATTTACTTACTACATATAATTTATTATTAAATACTGCAGCACTGCAATAGGATCGAGCAGTAGGCATTGGTTTAGTGATTTCCGTCCATACTTTCGAATTTACATCATAGTATTCTACAGAATTCAAACGATTCTTATTTGATAAATCATAGCCTCCAACCTGTATCATGAAAAAAAGAAAAACGGGTTTTGTATACATTATTTTAACTATAATTCAATTAATACATACGACATATATGTACTGATTGTAAGTACAAACAGAAAATTCTATTCGTGATCGATTCATTGGCCTCGTAGAAACCCATTGTTTTGATTTTAACTTAAGATCAAGCTCGTCTACAAGATTGACCAATCTACCAGTCTCGTTTAAACCACCAATGGCTAGTATTATCCCATTTTCAGAGACTACCATCTTTGAGCCTTTACGGGGAGGCAAAAAAAATGAATGATCGCTTGATTTCCATCTTAAGTCGTTGTCATTTCTAATATCCATATACTTTACACAGGAACTGGCACCGTTTGAATGACCAGTAATTGCAAAAACAATCTGAATACACATATTATATACAAATGTCAGGCGATACAATCACATAACTAGTAAAATTGATGTGTACCTATAATATGTAAAAATCTAGTTTTAAAACGTCTACATACATTTGATGATTCAATTCCAATATATCTTCTTAAAATATATGATGGTTTGGAGCTGTCGTAAGTACTGTAATTTTCTAACATGCTTGTCTTAACTAAAAAACCATAACAATAATGATATTTATTTAAAATACATCAATTCTATGTTCACCTATAGGCGTTTTTGTACGTATAAATAAAGAGCACAATTTAGATCGAATGCAGCCTCGATTGAAATATCAATATATACTTACCTTTAGTATTATTTCCCACTAATGGATGATCATAAATCCTTAGTAGTCCTTCTTTTGAAATTAAAGGCAAACGTAAATATTTCATAAGAACCGGTAAGAAGTCATTACGTTCATCTGTGTTATAGCGTATCCAACCAATGATAAAATCAAATATCTAAAATAAATATTAATAAATAACTGTAATAGAACCAAAATTAAAATCAAGTAATTTTTTATCTTTTCTTAAGTCACAATAATTTTACCTTTTCCTCAGAGTCGATTACTAAATCATCACGTGCAATAAACTCGACAACATCATCAAACTCAAAGTCATAAAGTGTTTCTAATGATTGATCCGAATTCACAATTGTACTAAAAAAAAATATTTGTTTTATTAGTCGATAATTTAAAAAAACGTTGCGATCATTATCGCACCTGATTACTCACGCGAAATTGTTTAAAAAATATGACCAACAAAAATTGTAAATCTTTTCATCTGATATTAATTTGGAATTTTTCATAAAACTCACACAATTTGAAGGATTTATGTTTTCTTTAATATTTTGAAAACATAACTCTTTTATATATTTTAGACGATACATATCAGCAGCCATCAACAGTTTCTAAAAAAATTAATAACAAGTAATTAAAAATGGAGTAATATTTTATAAATTGTATCGTATTGCATATTTCCTACCACACAATTGTTTTTTTTAATATCCAATTTACAAGTATATGCAAATTTGACTACCAATTCTAAAATTTCAGAATCTATTTCTTTTACAAGAATCTCTTTTTTGTTACTTTCTTTAAACTGTCCGCTGAACATAGTGTAAAATACATCACTCGCAGAAGCCAATATATTTCTGTGTGCTTCTATTTTTAAGCCTTCGTCGGTAACCAAGGTTACATCACAAAATTCTTTGTCCCTAAAAAAAAAAAGTATCCGTATTAATGTATTTATTTTCGTTAGTAGTCATAGTCATAAAATGAAAAATTTTGATCACATTGCATAAAAACTAGGGGTAGGCCAATTTTAAAACCCATACTCGATATTGGACAATATTAGTGGTATCGGTTTTTTTTTGGAAACTGATATTTGGACCATAATATCAATGGTAGGTTTTATGTAATATTGGTTTTTTTGGGTATCAGCCTTTTTTTTTAATATCAATTCATGGTTTTTGGAAACACATCTTTTATATATCGGCAACATATATTGAAATAACGGCTATCGGTAAAAAGTGGTATCGGCCCATCCCTAATAACAACAATATGAAAATAAAAAATTGAATTTCTTATAAAACCCTAAAAGATATTGAGTGGTTTGTAATAAAATAATCACCTGTTTATATTAAAAAAAAAAGTGCATACCTACACCCCAGGACTCTGCTATATTATTTAAAAGGGCAATATAAAAATACTTACATTGATCGGTCATAAATAATTTATGTAAAAATCATTATCAATTGACTTACTCATAGAATTGATACATTTTATCAAAGTGTTCTTGCATAATAACTTCCATTATTGTTGTTTTGCTTGTTTTACAGTATATATTATAGATGTATCTTTTCTGTGTTTAATTGTTAACTAATTGAAAAATTAGACTGCCTAAAACATATACAACATACAAAACTCAAGTGATTTTCAAAGATAAGGTAAAATAAAAAGTTTACAATCAAAGTCAACAAATAGCCTGTATTTAAACAAAACTTTATTTCGAATACTTAACAAGAAAAAAAAAATCATGTTTGAAATTAAAAATTATAAAATAGGCTGCTGAAATAGTTTGAAAAATAAAAACCGACAAAGTTTTGAGTGGTATATATTGTTTTAGGTAAGAAGCAAAGACGGTAAAGATTAGAGCTAGACGATAGCGCATTTGACCGACTATTTTAATTTAAAGTGGCGTCGATCCCATGTCATTCAACTGACATCCGAGTAAATAATTTATAATAAACAAACACATATAAATTAGGATTCTGTTTATTCACAGGCAGTGTTCTAAGTCAATGAATAACAGAAAACACAGCAATAGTGTAAATAAATTAGAAATACAAAACAGTAGGTACTCACGCAACGTAGAACCGTAAACCGCTGTCCAGGGCTGTTACTTTATATGTATAGTAAATAAATTACAGGCAAGCGAAAACTCAATAACGAAACACGGCGCAATACGTTAGGTATTTATCATAAACTTTAACAAAGTTATTATAATTAAAATTTAGAGATATTCTCACGAATCGGACCCGTAGCAACAATAATGAAAACAAATCGTTTGTATGGCGCTAAATCGAGTTTAACTAGTTATAATTAACAGAAAGGAGAGTGTGTAAAAAGAAAATATCTCAATTATTAACAAAAACAAAATTGTTTTTCATAACAATTGTGATTTGTGAATTTAATGCAAACTGCACGACGACAAAGAAATTTGTGTAGACAGATTTGTGATAGTGTGTGTTTGGGTGATAACAAATGATTGCCACAGGTGGAGGTACACCGCAGCATGGAGGTAAACTTTCGCGGGTTTTAGAAGGCATACAAATCGAATTCCCAACACCATTCGCTGACTTGTAAAATTTGTGTTTAATATTGTAATTGCATTACAACAAAAAAAATGGCATGTGTTATTTTTGTATACAATGTAATAACTAATATAAGGTACTATACGGTACGGTTTTAAAATTATTCGGGGAACGTGATCATTCTGATTTATAACTAGCCGACACTAAAATTATTATAAGTTTTTTACTTTTAATCAAATATAAATTTCCTGGTAAACTTTTCCATTTCTCGTTAATTAGTTTCGGGTATCCACACCTTTGTTTGTCAGTTTCCAATGATAATTGTGTGCGTAAAACAAAAACAAATTCTTTCAACACATCCAAATCACTTTATTCATTCAGTTCATTTATTATGTGTCTTTAAAGAGGTCTAACTTTTGAACACGAACGTTTCTGCTTTATTCAAATTCAAGATAGTGTCCATTTTAAAGTTATCACATAAATCGGAAGCGTTGTTATGGTGAAAGGCTTTTAAACCGGTGGTACAATTTTTTACCTTCACCACTATATATTTACTACATTAAACCGTATCCAAATAATATATAGTTACTTTACGCGAGTAATAGTTGAAAAAATCTATGGTTTCTATATTAATTATCATAAAGCTGTACAGCTGAACCACATAAAAGCGGTAGACGGGTATTTAATAAATTTAAAATTGATAAAAAATATAATTCTTCAGTTTTAATGTATGGTTTCCGTATTTTTAAATGTAAAGTTTCAAAGTGTAATAATTTTTACCTAATGTAGAGTTAGCTGTCCAGATTTCTGAATCGTCGAAATGGATGTTACCTCGTCTAGGGGGGTAAGAGTGTGAGCAATAATAAATTATTATAAACCGATGATCAATCCAAATCATGTCCACTCTAATACTAGAAATACATTTTAATTAAATTATTTTTATTAGGCAATGCTTTATAGATATTTGTATTTCTACCGTTACATAAGTTCACATCGAAGCATTTACTTGAAAGTCATTACGTCACTTTCAGTTGGAATAATTCATATAGATCTGTGACTTTTCCCGCCCCAATATGCTTTGACCCCACCGTACTGGTTTTTTTTTTTAAACTGAAACAGCTGGTTGTATGGAAAGAAGTTATAACTTTTAAAATATGATACCGGTTGTGTTTTTTTAAAATTGTTAAGATGATACCCTAACATAACCTATTGACGGCAAAAAACCCATTCTATAGATACAAAGTTCAATAGTGTGCTAGAACTAAAGAGATTTGTTTTTACATTAGCCAAGTTGTTTTGGTGGTGAAAAATTACTTTCTTCGCATAACATAAAACTAATGTTCACCTATAAATATGCACCAAACCGAAACTCAAATTTGGTTGTCGACAACAATTTTTAAGAGGACGCCACACCGCCCATTTTTAAGGAGTAAAGTTTAGGCAATTTTTTACAAAATCTTATTTGACAGAACTACGTCAAGTTATTAGTTAAAACGTATTGGTTTTTAAGTAGCAAACAATTAACTGAATGTTAGACATTGGGAACAAATCTACTGGGTTACACCATAGCCCCCGACTAAGAGGTTGCGGGTTCGACCCAATGTTGTTACAAATTGTTTTGTATTTTTTTTTTTGTTTTTATTTATATTTCAACGTTCAGAAACAGCTGAAGCCTCAAAAACTCATTTAACTTGACCTTTCCGCTCCTAAATGCAATAAGCCCATACTATGTTCAAAAATACAATCTACCTCTACCTACTTACAATATTTTATCTTATTGGGTTTGTACCCACAGTATCTTTTAAACCACTGAACCGATTTTTTTCTGTTTGAAATCGCACCAGTAAGGTACATTATTAGACTAAAAATTTGAAAAACACCTGAAGAGTTTACATTTTATTCAACTAAAAATTACGGCGCTCCATATATTTTTTCAAAATAGTCCAATTAGTTCCAAAAAAAAAATCAAAAATGAAGTATTGACAATGCCAGAGCTATTGGCAAAAGTCCCTTGAGAATAAGTTTTTCGAGGATTTTCCCAAGAACAGGTCTAAGAGGCTAATTGGTCTGTATGACACCGATTTTTCTGGAGGTTTGTCAGGTTTTAAAATTGAAATAATAACCGCTGACTTCCAGATAGAAGTCCTAAAGGCGAATGATTTTTTTTTGGCGGCAAATTTTATAACTATACAAGCTGTCCCGTCTTATCACTTAGGGGTATGAAAAATAGTTTACGACCTATTCTCAGACCTACTGAATATACATACAAAATTTCATAAGAATCGGTCAAGCCGTTTCGGAGGAGTTTTGTTACAAACGCTGTGGACACGAGAATTTTATATATATATATATAGATATAGATAGAATATATATATTATTACTAATAAAATCGTTCCAAGTAATGTTGGCAAGTAATTACTTGACAACGTTAAGGCCCCTGGATACCGACCATTTTTAAGAAGTTTTGTATAGGCAATATTTAAGAAAAAGTGGTTTTATTAAATTTCGACCATGTTAATTAATTTATCGGTTAATTTATATATAGCTTCATGGTATTGTTTTTAATTTAAATAATTTTGTCTATGAGTGAAAGCCATTTTAGTTTATATAATAGTACGTTTTTTGTCCATCGCACAGGCTGAACCAGTGATCCGATAAGTAATCCGAAAACAGATTTGAATTCGTCGTGAAGTTTACTTGAGATCGGTCAGCGTACTTTTTTGATATCTTATTCCTACTACGCATAAAACACGTTTGAACAGTTTATAAAGTTTTAAATTTTAAAATCAAATTTGGAAACGGTTAAAATTAAAAATTGAAACCAGCATACCCCTTCCGACAGCTCAAAATTTCAGATACCCGTGCCGCGGAGAGCCCACATCAAAATATCAGCCTTCTCGGACAACTCATATTTTTGCCCGTTAATTTATACGTTTTTTAAAAATCGTCTTCAACACATTTATTTTTTAAATTTAAAAAAGATTCTTAAAGCTGACACGTATTGTCCGTTTAAAATACCTACATGTGAATTGGTAGTTTTTCTTCGTACTAAAAAAAAAAACAATCCCTTCTAAACAGTTTACATTTTTTTTTTTTAGTAATTAAATTTAAATATTCTCTTGAGTTGTATTATAAATGCTAATGAAAATACAGTGTATTGATCAACTGTGCGTTTTTTCTTACTCAAACTATCACGTTTGATCTTTGTTGAGCACAGTTATATTTAAACAATTTTATTGTTTTTTAATCTCTATAGAAGTCCATCAATGTTGAATCTATTATCTCATGTAATATTTAATATGGATCGTTTAGATATTTAATGTTATTTCGATTGTATTCAATTGTTGCATTATTAACTAATGAATTTTCAACTCATATTTTTCCACCTCAGAAATACACCAATCAGATATTATGTGCAATGTGTATAAACTTAATTAGTATTTAAAATCAATCAATAAACTGGCTTTTCCGTTACATGGTACGCAAGTTTATTTATTTTGCTCTTAATACTATATTCTTTGTCAAATAAGAGACATACTGGTGCATTTAGCACGAAGAAAGTATTTATTAAATTTATCTATTTAATAGTTAATACTATACATTATCCGTTTTTCATACAATCTTGTTTTAACTTTTAAAAACATATTATAAGTTAAATTATTTCTCAAGTGGTATTTAATAATATATTTTTCTAGATAAGTACTTGATTTAAATTTAATAAAAAAATGGCGATGTGTCGACAAAGCGTGATATATAAAAAAAGATTAAAATTTAAAGGTAACCGACAAAAAATTAAAATTTTTAAATTTAATTTAAAACATTTCTTTCCTTGTTTCCGCTGCTTTTTGACTGTTTATTGTTAGGCACTGTTGGACAAAGATACTTGTTTTTAACCAGTTGAAGTGTTTTAAGCTACATTCTTAAATTATAAAAATAATTAACTCGAGCAAGTAAAAAGTTATTATAAAACATATTCAACTGAAGTTAAAACAACGGTTAAAAGCTTATTACCAAATTTCTCAGTAACTAATATTTACACTACAATTTTTAATCGTTTTACTTACATTACCTAGGTATATTATGATAGCTTTATGCTCCCGTTAGTTATCGTGGTAAAAACGTTTAAATTGGAAATAAAAAATGACAGACATTTTTGCAAAAAGAACATTATCTACAAATTGGTAATAACTACTAAATCCATTGATGAACTGTTGATGAGACATTGTTTTTTATACCTAAACAAATAACGTTATTAAATGTGAAAATACCTTATTGTTTTAAATCAAGCGAAACCAAAATTAATTATTTAGTATTTAAATAAATAATAGAATCAATAATATGTAAACATATCTATATTATTTAACGTGTAATTAATGCATCAAACAAATTATTAAAATATAAAAGTAGCAAATTTAATCAAAAAAATATTCATACAGAAGAAAACATAAAATTAAAATAATTCAAAGATAAAAATAGATTCCATAAAAATTAATAAATAATTTAAATTAAAAATCAAGTTTCAAAAATAAACTTACATAATACTAGCATATTATACATTCTTATGTTAAATTATTATAGCTTCACTATTGTAATTGTAATGTTTTTATTTTTGAAAAAAACTAGTTTATAATAATAATAATATACTACTGTATATAATCAGAAAAGTAAATCGATAAAAACATTTATATATTTTTGCCGAGCTTCTCACAGGGAGTTATGACAATGTGACCACCCGATTCTTGAACTTACTCTCTTGGCTCCGTTAATGATTGGCGGCGGTTTAAATATTTGTATGGGAGAACCATAACTATAGGGTAGTTTCAAACGAACATTTTTTCTTCGAACAAAGTTAATTATCTAAACTGCGAGTCCATCTCAGTTTTAATAAACGTAGTACATACATGTAATAATAGAATTAGAAAATATGAAATAAATAAACGTTTAAAACGACAAGACTCAAATGAAAACTTTTAACGTATTACTGATCAATACACTTCATACCACAGCTATCGATATTATTTTTCTCACTTCTTTTAATTTTTTGTAAAAAAAAAAAAAAAAATGTTAGGGTTTAAACTTAATAAAATTAAATAATAACGGTGAAGCAATGTCGACATATTGGATGGACGGAGAGGAGTAATGGTCCCGACAAAGGACCTAAATGGCCTGTATATTAAGCCAACACAAATTATGATTGAAAGTAATGAAATTATCTTATAACAGCGAGCAAAGAGTTTTTATTATGCAGTACAAACAATTATTTGACAATTTTTCTATCAGCGTGACACGCAAAAAAATATTTAAATTTATTAACAGTAGTACTTTATACTTTATGTATTATTTATTAAATAATAAACCTGAGGGAATAAAAATTATTTATACTAAACTAAGCTCTGCCCTAGCACCATTTGAGTAATGTTCACGACTCTCGTTCCATGACGTATGACACACATATCGCCATGTGTAACATAAGCAAGTGTTGTGTATGATGTTGGATTTGTTGTACTCCAGAACAATCCTAGGATTAGACATTTGTGGGTAAAATCACTAATGTGGTTGCTTGGGCCTAAAAAAAAAGTTGGCCAAATTTAGCTAGCTGCACTGACAAAAAAAATATACAGTTGGACAAACTAAAATTAAGGCTAATCTTACATAGGTACTCGTCCGTGAGGAAAAAAGTGTATTGAGTCACAAAATTACATGTAAATTTTACAGGAGAGAGAAAAATAAAATAACTTGTTGAACTAAGTTTGCAGTTTCTTTAACTAGAAAATTAGTGGGACGATTTATTTATGTAGTTATTTCAACTATAAATGTAATGTGTTAACTGTAATGTTTGTTGATCCGAATATGTATTTTTTCCGTGTAACTACTAGTTTTTTTATTAGTTTATTATTTACTATATATAATTTCCAGTACCTAATAACGATGATAAAACTGGTATTAACATAGCTCTTCGCTCAGCTCCAAGAGCATTGATACTTTTTGCACCACTAGCTGAAAAATTCAACAATTGTGTTAAACAAAGTATAAATAAATAACGGTAAAGTGTTTTTATTATGGCAATTTTGTAACCTCGGTAGACACGGTGAAATTCCAAAATTCCAAATTACATTATTCGAAAAACAACAGTAACCAAAATGAAGAAAAAGTAGAAACTTCAATATGAATAGTAGTTTGAACAATGTCAAACACTTTTTGGGATATTTCATTAAAGCAAGAAGATGTGCGACAACTACAATTACTGGCATAATTTTTCACTGACAATATTTAAATGCCAATAGAAATAAATATCGCACACAAAAGTTTCGGCTAGTGAATACGAGCCATTCTACTAGCTAATATTACTGTTTATTAAAATAATTAAAAAAAAAAAAAAAGACTAATTCTTGTTGTTTAATATTTGTACTTATGGTAGATATATATATTTACGACTGTCGAATTACCAAGAGCTTCAGCCCGGACCTTAGTTAAGCCTGTAACAAAAACATGAAAATATGCAATAAATAATTGTACGGCTATTGGAAATAAGTATTTTATTAGACGGTACGTATAACGGTAACTTTAAAATATAAGACTACTTAGGCCAATTAATTAAATTGGTCGTTTATGTGTGAAAGATCAATAGTCTCGATTTTGTTGGCCACAGTACCAGAAACCCAGATTTTTTTTAAGTCAAGTTGTATGTGAAACACAGTTATTTTTAATTTCCCATTAAGTTTAACATTTTGGATCAAACCCCTCCCATAAACGATCGATTCGATTTAGAACACTTGAAATAATATCTAGTAGGTATAGCCGCTTTTGAGTAAAAGAAATCAACGGAATGATATCAAATCAGATCATTAACACCAAGTTGAAAATATTTAGCTTATGACTACGATTTCAAACCGAAAGTTTTTAAGTACAGTTGAATTTTAACTGTCAGTTTTGTAATGTGTTTGTGAAAATAGGTTGAATTTTATAATTACCTGAGCCTTCGACCATTACCAGTTGCAGATTAAGCTCCATTAAGTCTTCTAAAATTAAAAACAAAAAACATTTTTATACACGTCTATTGTTACGGCAAAATTAATATGCATAATATGATTGTTCTCATAATTTAAAAAACTAATGTAAAATCCGTGTGTGATGTATTATTAACATGAAATATGAATTACGGAGATGACAGTCTTGTTGATAGTCTTGTTCTGAAATTAAAACGAAAACACTTTATACTTGTGAATAACCACAACAACTGTATAGAAATATTTTCAATTATTACCAGGTAGTGCAAACATAAAAGTCAATTTCTCTGAAATTATGATTACAAAATATTTATTTTCAAAACGATAGTAGACTTAATTTCATGTACAATTATAAATTTAAAGAAGAAAGTCAAGATATAAAATACACATTTAATAATCATAATGCAAGTTAAATTTACAAATAAATATATAAATAAACTGCAATAATTATTGTATCAATTCCAAAACATTTCTTCTGCTAGCATAGTTAATCGGTTTTGTTGTAGAATAATAGTTACCCATTAAGACCTCATTTTCAACAACTTCTATTATTTTGCCCACAATGGTGTCTGAAATAAATAAATAATTGATCGAGTAAAAAAAAAAATCAAATGAAATTTTAATGCGACATAATATGTAGAAAAATGTTCTGATTAGAAGTACACTTTGGGTTAAATGTGGCCAATTTAACAAGCGATAAACCGTATGGGAATTTTATTACACAATTATTCTATAATATATATTCCAGATCATCGATAATATTGTACAAACTGAATTATAATATAATAATATATTATTCGTGTGGGAGACTCTTTTGAGAAACATACAAATTGCATTATTTCAGCTTATTGTCCTCAACAAACCTCGACTTCACCGATGTTGATAATTCCTGGAGTTCTTCGGTAAAAAACATTTTTTTAAAAATACAATACACACACAAGCCAATAATTGGAAACATTTTTTTTTTACTAGAGATTATAGTTCATAAGTATAAATCACCTTATAGTCAGGCAAATGGCAACTACAACAAAACCATTAAATTTATAGTATTAATAATTTTAAGTGTGTCTTACTTCTATCAATATGTTCCCGAATGAGTATGTCTGTAATAAATTATGTATAAAAACTGTAAGTCTTAAAACTTAAATAAGTATTTTGTGAACAAAAAATGTACTGACTTGTAGTTTCAAGCCTTTTTCTTGCATTTAATTCGGCCTCTCTTTCTATTTGGGCTATCATTTCGGATTCTTCAACGAATTCGTAATCTGTAAAAAGTTGAATATTGAATTTTTTTTTTATATTTATTTATACCTAAACCAAATACCTTGAGCGGGTACTTGTAAAAACGAATTACATACCAATATGGGCGATTACATTTAAAAACGCACAGCACAGTAGTACATAAAGAACTTTCATTTTTGTCTGCAAATAATAATGCAAATTAAATCATGTCATATTAGACGGAGGTATACTTACAATAAAATCTAAACATTTATTGCACAGTTCCCTTTATGTACATTTTTTAACTCCAAGCAGGATTATTTCTTTCTCATTGTGTTCACTTACTTACATTGCTTTGGCGCATGTAGTTTAAACTCAATATTGAAAAACAATTATTGACAAATGTATACTAGTTTTCAAAATTATTGACGTTTCAGAGTACGGTTGACTTGAATAGAGTTGTTTTTCGATAGAAGCTACACAGGTGTAGAGGCATCTTAATTATGTCAAGACGGATTATGTTTGGTTACATTAAACACGTTACATGTATTTATTCTGGTAGCCTAAGAACTCGAAGTAATGTAGACAAATGACTGTTTGGCATCACAAATTTTTAAAGTTTTACTATTATTTTTTTTTTTTTATGAAAAACAAATGGTTTTCAGACTGATTGTTACATATATTATATGAACACAAATTTTGTATTAAAACCACCAATAACAACACTTAAACAAATAGTTTTTTGACCTAAGTATGTCGTGTAGCCTAGTTAACACATTTTTTATTAGGTACCGTGTTCATAATTTCCGATATGTTAATAAATAAATAAAATTCCTCTTCATTCATTAATGTTTCGCAGTTAAGAAAAATAGTATCGTTAAACATTTCCTATAAAACCAAATTAAATATAATAACACGTAAGAAATGTAAATGTTCACACTAGGACAATTTATTAGAAAAATATTTTCGCTTAATAAGTTTATAAAATAGTTATTTGGTACAATGGTTTTCATACATTACAGTACATATACATATACAGTGTGATTATTTTATCATAGGCCACTCAATATCTCACTTAGTTTAATTAATAATGTAATATTCGCACAGAGACTCATCTCGGATGGCATTACAATATCCTGTAATAAAATTGGGACTTGGACAACCAGGTTAGGTTAGGTTAGTAGTCTACACAGTGTCATTGTGAGGGTCATTTGACATTTCACTAAAACTTCATGTTTTTCAAATCATCCAAAATGAATTTAATAATCTATTCAGCAATTATCAAGTATCTTTAATAGGACTAAAAAGTAAATTAAAATAAATACATTTAAAAAAAACTCTTTTAAAAACATGCTTTTCTAAAAAATAGTAAAAAATTGAACTAAAAAGGAAAAATAAATTTTACTACAACAACAATTTACCAATCAATATTGTAGAACATTTTATTTAAAATGTCATTTACTTTGAAAACAACCGTTAAACATCTTTAATTTTTGACTAAAAAAAAACCGTTGGCCCTATTCAACAAAGTCTCAATTCATCGAGTTAAGTATTATGAAATGTATGCGTCACACAGTAATATTAAACCAAATTTAAATTACAAAAAAATCTACAGTATAAAACATCATCTGAAATGTTAACTGATAAACTTATTAGGGACTTGGCTGAACATTTTCGGTTGTTTTCACTGCTATTTTAAATTAAATGTGCTACAATTGATTGGTAAATTGTTCTTGTAGTAAAATTATTTTTTACTTTTTAGTTCACTTTTTTTACTATTTTTTAAAAGAGCATGTATTTAAATTGCGAATAATGTACTAAACATTTTGACTGGTCGATAACACAAGTTTTGGATAATATTATTTTTGAAGTACATACATAATAATAATATGAGTACCCAATAATTCCTGGTGATGTTGTTCAGTAAGTGCGAAACACTTGTTTAAAAAATACATATTTTTTTGTGTTTAATATGTTAGACATATTAGAGTTACTGCACCCGGAGGACGATCATATAAGTATAATATGGTATACAACTAAACAAGTGTTGAAAACCCTACATTACAATGCTAAAAAACAATTCGATTATAAATACAATAAAATATCATAACGTTGTATACAACAAATTATTCAAATAAAAGTTCTTCGTTTAAAAATGTGGGTATTCGAATGATTTTTAAAAAATCATTTAAATAGTCTATAGTTGATTTTTTAAAGTAATTATATTTAAAAATATTATTTCGTATACATCATTTAATACATTCTACATTTAGAAAATATATAAAACCAGTAAATATAAGAAAACAATTTCGTATATTACTTACTTAAATAATTGCTGCAATGATAGTTGTACTGACTGCTTCAACGGTTTGCTTACGACTTATGGAATGGCTTATATTTTGTCGACCGAAACGATAAAATCCAATGTGTATTTTGCGGAATTGTTTATGCGAATTTGTTAACATAAGCAACATTAGTAATGAATAACATATTTATTTTATTCTGAAGCATAACACCCAGTAGAGTATAATATTGCAGCTATTTATTTTGTCTACACCTAGACAAAATAAATCAATTTAATAACTCTCCACTTCCAACGGCACTACCAGCTAAACACACCTCACCTGATGAAATACTTGCAATAATCAGAAATCTTAAAAACAAAAAGTCTCCCGGCCATGACAAAATAAATAACAAACCGCTAAAAAATATTCCGCCAAAAACTATTATTCTACTGTCATATATCTATAATTCCACGCTTCGTCTTTCATATTTTCCAACCGCTTGGAAAACTGCCCTTGGGAAGAAGATCTTGGGAAAAATCATCTTGCAAACAATCCTACCTATTATCAATCAACTAAATTATCAAACCCGACTTCCAGTTCGGCTTTAGATCCAGACACTCCACATACCATCGACTTAATCGAGTAGAATTGATCACATGGCTGAGTCTCTTGGAACGAAAAAAAAATATTGCTCTGGTGAATTCTTTGGACGTAGCACAGGCATTTGATGCAGTTTGGTTCGATGGCTTACTTTATAAAATAAAAGGTTTCCTCCCGACACCATATACTACCTGTTCATTAAATCCTTTCTAGAAAATAGAACCTTCAACGAAAGAATAAACACCACACTGTCAAACAGTTTAGTATTGAGTACATAGCGCACCCCGCCTTCACTGTTACTCATACTACCTGCTACAGAGTGATTTTTTTATCATGGGCCACTCTCACTGGGTTTAATTAATAATAACATTTTTTTTTTTCATAGTATTTTTACATAATGTGATCTCAATTTTCCACAAATTATTATGTTTCTACCTCTCTCCCGAACTAGTTTTTTCGATGGCAACTTTTGAAACTTAAATGGTAACGTACATATTTTTGAAACTTTTTAAATTAAGAACAACACTCAAAATGTTGACCGGTTGATAACCAGTTTTCATTCATTTCATATTGTTTCACTTAAAGTTATAAGAGCTTGAAAGTTTTAACGAGAAGGGAAGTGCGGGTGGGAAGTTGATTCAATTTTTACAATTTTGTTTTGTTATAATGCCGATAAAACATTTATGGGGTCAGTAGGAATAATGTATTTATGAAATTAATTTACATTTTTATTTCGAAATAACATTATTTTTCGTTGAGCCTCTGATCCAAATTTCAATAACACCTGCCTCATAGCCTGTGAGTCATAGGTACGATTGGAGGTTTTTTTTTCACTGTTTACATATTTTCTCAGATATACAGTTATTTTTTGGAACGGTTTATTTTTTTGTTATTTGTCTTTATATGTTTTAACAAAAAAGCCTTCAAAGTAGAACTCTACTTTAAAATGTATGCCAACAGTTATTAGTCATTTGTTTACACTTCAACAGTCATTGTAAAAAATCTGCATTTTCATGTAGTCAAATGTATACGATTGTTGATTAAACACATAAGAGCCCTCTACATGTAGCTAAATCACTTAAGGGTGGAAAAAACATATTTTTATAGCTATTTTTAAACACTGCAACCAAGTTGTAGGTTTTATAATTGTAGTTGCTTTAGTAGTTCTATTTATAAACTCATAACATTTTTAATATAAATTATAGCCGCTTTTGTGATACTTTTTTTAAGAGATAATCTATGCGCCTAAGACCGAAGAGTAATTGCAGCAATTTTTTAGTGTCAAAATTTCGATTTTTATTCCAACTACCAAAATGTTATAGCTACAGCTGATATTAGTTGCATAGACCTATAAAGAAATGGACTGATAGTAGAGAGAGAGGTCCGAATATCGACATCGTTAAAAAGAGACAGAGAGAGAGTTGTTAGGTTCGTCATGGAAGAAATAATATTATCATAGAGAAATAGTAATATGATAATACCCGATAGCGACATTTTTATATTAAAATGTTTTAATTAATCTTATTATATTTTTTTAAATATTGAGTTTTAATTATCATTATTATTATTATACGTTAAGTTAAAGTCAGCCGAAAAATCGAATTAGGTCCCACTTAACATTAACCATTCATTTCAAAAATCAGTAAAATGTATTATTCTTTTTTTTATATTTTTTTATTATGATTATTACCTATTAACAAATAAGTAGTGAATTTGATTAAACTTAGATGCAGATCTGTGGTGCAATAAATTGTCTACTGAGTTTGTAAAGAAAAACTATTTTTCAAAACATACTTACACGTTTTATAAAAAGTAAAACAGAATGTTCATTGATAAAATTTGAATGAAATTGTAATGGTTGTTAAGTATTTATTAACGATATACTATACATATCATATATATAATATGATTTAATTATTATATATTTCCATTTGGTGTATTGTCATATATATATATATATTTTAAATTCGAATATTCCAATAGTTGTATAATAATGTACATTTTAAATTAGACTGTAATTCCTACTTTTAGCGATGTAGAATAATGTTAAGTTAGTACTTAAACATATTCTCGCTCCGATTCTACCGATCTAGCCCAATCAAATAAATGTAACTGAAATTTTCAAAATCAGTATTTATTCTGTTGATGCATGAAATAAAAATTTTAAAAAAATTAGATAGCAAACGAATGTATAATAACAAATAAATATGTCAACAGAATTTCACATGCAAATATGCAATAATTTGATAAGTAAAGAATTTAATTCCTTATGTCATGATTTATATGTTAACATTTATTTTATTTATAATTATTTTAGCAATTACAAAACGTAGTATGATTATTGTTTTTTTTTTTTTAAGAATAGATGGATATCACATAACGTTTTCATATAGTTTAGTAAAAACGGATAATTCTTTAAAATAACTAAAATAAAATAAATAAAACTTATTAATCATCAAAATAAGCACTGTACAAAATGGGCAATTTTTTTTTAAATGGCTATTTATAATGTAATTTTGCCGTACAGTGATCGGAGATTAAATCATACATATTTATTAATTGTTGACACGCAAATTGTATATTATCATTCTGCATACCCATTTCGAAAAATAAACTTATATTGTGTGTTTTGCAACACTCCCAAATATTAATATTTTCTTGGCATGTTAATTTTGCCTTATTTTATGATTCTTACACTAAGTGCTCCCTTAATTTAATGATATTATAGGGGTAATCAGTTTTAACTGATTCGATCATTTAATTTGACCAATTCATTCTGCTCCTGAAGTTCAGTCATAATATAGGTACTATATTAGTAGAAACATGGCACATAATCTGTATAACTTTATAGATTTATAAAGATAAAATAGATTTTAAAAAGTCTGAAGCCTTAGTAATACTTAAAAAAAATAGGGCGCTTCTATTATTAATACCTCATGACAAAATTACAAAACCAATAAAAACACAGTTTATAATTAACACACTTGATTTTTATTACAATTTCTTAAAACACTGAAATTAATAAATCTAAAATAAAACATTTTATTTGTTTTATTGCGTTTACAAAAAAAAAGTGACAGTTGAATATTACTATTGTACCGAGTTTATGTCTCCTGCAGAACAAAGAGCGATAAAATACAGTAGTCAGCCTGACAAATACTGTTGTGTTTACTTAAGAAATAGACAGTTAAAAATTATTGTACCGATATTGAGTCTCCTGCAAAAAAATTAGACCCGTAAAACACAAATAACGTTAGTCAATACGCGGTTCATACATTCACAAAATGGCACACTATAATACTTTTATTTGGATGGTCACGATTCTGGTAATTTTTGGAATATCAAGTGCAGTATTCACAGCCGACAAGAAGGACCCACTTAAACAACAATTATTAGGTGAATATGAATCTGGATCAACGAGTGCAGTACCCACGGACAACGAATCGGACTTATCGAAACTAAAGATAAAAGATGAATTCAATTATGTTCAAACGATCAACAGAGGAACATTTGCCAGTCCTAAAATAAAAGAATTTGACATATTTTATAAGGTAGGAGATATTCTACCTAGAGCTATACGAGAAATTGATTGTAATTTTACTTATGATATGATATTTTTTATGAAATTAATGACTCCGGAAAATTACACGAATGAGACATTATATAATAGTGTTGATAATGCGTGTTCAAATTGGGCACAGCATATGTTGAACGCAAGAATCAATAGTGGGTTTCCTTTAAGAGAATTCCCATACACTTTGTGGATGTATTATTTGTATACGAAACGAATGAAAATGTTCAAAACACATGACAAAAAAACACACATTAAAAACCTTCACGGTAACATGGAGTGGCATTTTAAATGGGAAATGCATAAATGTACATATTTGTGGCCTAAAAGTCACAAATATGATTTTTACCTTAAACAATTAGAAAGCTTTAACCAAAACTCAAAATTACAAAAGATCATAGAGACATGTACACGTCTCAACCAGATGTCTGAAAGCAAACTCCACTTTAATCTGGATCTTGATTCAAGCTTATACATTAAAAACGTTGTGGAAAATACTGCAATTATGAACACTTTGGTTTCCGGGTTTGGAGGTTTAAACGGGAGAGATAAAGTTGTAGAGATCCTGCGTGAAGCTATGTGTGTAACAAAGTCCCCGTCGTCATTGCTTTCCACTTCTATCCATTCGCTTGGAGATGTCCATGATTATTTTATGCGGATGGTAAAAACTATAATGCTGCGAATATGTTGGGCATTATTGAATAATCTGAAATCGTTGGACCACCTTCAGGTAGTAGAACAGGTGCAGACATTATTATACAAACAACATTTAAACGATTTTGCCATTTTGTTCAAATTGAACGAGGAGGACGATTTGATGAAACTCGTTGCTGAAATTTCACCTAGTTCTATGGCAATAGAAGCAAAAATGATCGAGATCATGCGTTTACTGAAAATATACGATACAGAGAAGGATGTATTGTTATTGTTTCCCAACCATACACCTATGATCCTACAAACGGTTGATTGTCAAACATCCACACTAGTGGATATAGCAA